TGGTGTGCCATTCATCCTATTCACCCAGTCTTTGGCACCAGGCTAGTGGAACTGTGGATGGAAGTAGACATCTGGCTGATATGTTGGGTTCTATCTGTAGAAGAATGATACTACACAAGAGTAAGATAAAATAAATAAATAAATAAATAAAAATAAAAAGTTACTCCAAAACAGTAGACAAACACAAGAAATATACCACATGCTGATTAAAGCCTTTTATTGTGATACCTCAAATAGAATACAACAACGTGAAACAATCACACAAGTGTTGTACAATATTGCTAGGACAGAACAGCAAAGCTATGTCAGCTCATATAAAAAAAAATAAAAATAAAAAATCTTTACAATGTAAAGAAAGTGAAGTGGCAGCTTGGCGTGGCGGACTCTCCCACAAACACAGTACTGGTTTCTGCAAATCCCATTTCAATATACAATCTCTCCAGTGAAGAACGCAAATGAGCACTGCTCTGCATTCTCCTAAACACTGAAGGGTTAATTTTGGCTGTACTTACACACAGTGAGTAAGGCTTATACTCACAATCCGCAGGCCTTTGCATTTAATCCTCACTGCCAGGAGAACTGACACCACATTGCTCTGCAATGTCTCCAGCTAATGGTGCAGGAAAAGTTAATTTCACAGTTACAATGCATCCCTCCCCACAAAACTTTATCTTTACTATTAAGATGGAAAAACCATGAGAAATATGATTAATAATGTGGCTTTTTGGGTATTGTGTCTTGCACAGTTCCAATGTTAATCAGCAAAGCAGTTAAAATACAGGGATCAGGAATATAAAAGGGGGAGGGTGAATAAAATACTTATGTGAACAGTCTCCTTTACACCCAATCACAGCAGATAACTACTTGGCAATGAGGTAAACAAAATCCACTCAAGTTCTGATTCAAACTAAAGTAAATTATCTCAGATTTAAAAAATGGATCTAAAATATTTGGGTATCTTTGCAAATACTGCATGACCCAGGGATGGCACAATAATGAAAAACAAACTGCATGCAAGCACAAACCTGTGTCTTACATAAAATGTGTGCCTGTATAAGGAGGGGGTGATTCAATGCAAAACTTTACAGCAGTTAAGTTTTTTCCTTTTTATTACAGTATTCGTAGCACCTTAAGTATTAAATGCAATGAAAAAAATTATTAATGTGAAAAATGTTCTGATGTGCAAAAACTGATATGTATAGGAGTGCTCTAGTCTTAAATGAAATGGGAAATTTAATAGTTCTGCCCTTCAAATACCCTGCACTGTTCAACAGTATAATTAAATTTTACAAAAAATGGGTATGGGTATGACAAGTCTGGTTACAAGTCAAGATTGGCTACCTGTATGTCCAACACTATGGACAAATGTTTCCAAATAACACAGCTGCTGGACTTTATACGTTAAAATACCAAGCATTGTGAGCTACAGCACAATTCTGAAAGCCCACGTTAGCATCTGAAGAGTGGGCATTAGACATGTCACATCTCGAAAGTTATATTTCCACTAAAATAAGTTTAGCCTACTGTGATTGAGTTAATAGAGACATGAGAGAAGAGAAAATAAAAAAATAAAAAATAAAAAATTGCAGAGTGAATTGATGACAAAAGTAAATTCTGAAACATTCATAAATATCTCACATTCTATTGAGGTATTGACACATTTGTGAATGTTATAAACTTGTTGTTTGAATGAGAACTACGCAACTGTAACTCAGGATTGTGACTGAAATTATAACTCTGCTTTCTTGGAATCCCTAGCTTTGCGAATGATTGGTCTGATATAGAACAGAGAGTGCAAGTTACATGTAAAGCCTGAGAAACAATAAGACCCAACAAGGTACACAGTAGATGTGCCTATACAGCTTACAAAAAAAAAAAAGTTATATATGACAAAACAATATGCATACAGATCACTTGTATATACACACATACACAAAAGACAAAAATGGCATATTAAGGAGCTAGAATAATCATAAAAACGTACTGAAATGGTATAACAAAAAATGTAAAAAACAAAAACAAAAAATCCCAAACAGCAATCTTATCACAAGAATACGTTTAAATAGTATCCGTAATATTATATTATGTACAAAAATTGGTTAGATGGAAAATGTTTATTTTTGTGTTTTTTTTATTTTTAATTCAAGTTTTATGCAAACTGTTGAAAACAGATTAGGATCAGTAACCAGACTGTCCTTTTCATCACCTTAGCCATTTCTGGGAGCCATGTTTTAAGTGGAAGATTTGTTCACAAAGCAATAGTTATGTTCTGATGGTGGCCATTTATTTTATTTTTAAATGTTTTCATCCACTCAACTTTAAATTGGGGAGGGGCAAAACATAAAAATAAAAATAGTACAGTGTAGCCAGCATTATTTGATCTCTATACATGTTCAGAGATGGTGATAACATCAAGAATAAACAAAAAGCAGGAGGGGTTCATAGTCAACCTAGAAATAATATAACTTTGATATAAAATATGTGAGTGAAACAAAATATTCATTCAAATGTTGACATAAAAAAAAAAAAAATATACACATAATTTTATGTCAACATTTGTGATTTTGTGTTTCACTCACCCGGGTCCAATTGCCCCAAGAACTCCAGGACGGATACCCCTAAAAATTTAAAAGGATTAGCATTTAAATGGCAACATGTTTTCCCATGTACCATAGCTCATCCCCTACACTCTAAAAATTAACGGCTTTGTTGCCAGCCAAAAGTTAGTTTGTGACATTAAAGAAACTAATAAATCAACATAATCACCTCTGCTTTGAAATTGTTGAAGTGATAAACCTTCAAGCATATGTTCACCCCTAGCTATATGGCTAATATAAACTTTATGTGAAGAAACAATGCACTGAAAAAAGAGGTTGCTAGTCTATAGACTGTAAACACGAGCTGCTACCAACACGTGTTTTAATGAAACAGGATAAAGTTCTCATAAGCATAAAGTGCAGTCTGGCCTAGTTCTAGCTAATGCGTCAAGCAGCAGCAGTCTTAAATATCTCACTGAAAATGTTCATAGAGTTATATAGTAAAGATTTAGGGAGAAAAATACATTTCTATTGCAAGGTTTCCCATTATAGTTCTGTCAAAGTGCCTACAGGAAGTGTAGTGTTATAGAAAAATAAAGGCCTCATTTGTCCATATATTGCCACATTTGCAACTACCATTCCATATTTTATTGATTGCAACCTTTGCAGGAAAGGGGACTATCCAAGGCCAGAATATTTTAGGTCACTATAATTTGGAAAATAGTTGGTTTTTTTTTTTTTTTTTAATGTGCAGAATTTAATAACCCTTTAGCAGCCATAAAAAACTTGTAACACTGCATTTAGAAAGGACTTGCCTTGTTGGAGCCAAGGATGATGGGGGGGAAAAACAAAACAAAACTGTATTACTTATAAAGTTGTCTAATCCACAACTGAGCACTGGAAAACAGTGTCTTGTTTGGATAAGACAACGCCTCCTATTTCCAAGCAATTTAACAGCAGTTGTTGTTTAGTTGCAACAATTATTTTTATAACAAGTAATTAGAATAATATTTACTTTTATACATTTTCTTCCTGACCTTTAAGATTTTATACAAAAAAAATTAAAAAAAAAACAAAAAAAACAAAAAAACACATGTAAATAGCATTCAGAAATGATTTAGCCAGCAAACCACCAAACACACAAGAATTACCTTATTCACCTCACACGTGCCAAAGAAAGCCTCCAACAGCATTCAAATAAGAAAATGATAGGAATCTACCCTATTCGAAAGATTTTTTTTTTTTTTTTTAAGCAAGTTTGTGTGCAAAGAGCAGGAGAAACAAAAATGTATATAACTTATATGAAATGCCCTCTTTGTCCAGTGCATTAAATGAAATCTATAATGGTTTATGGAACCAGCCATAACACACCTCTGACGTTTGTGCCAACACACATGCAAGAACTGAGCTCAAAAACCCTTTTGCTGTCATAGTAACCAGCTACGCAGACTAATGGAAGGTCCGCTTGGAGAAATATAGGATTAATATATGGTTTAAAAAGGGAATGAGCACAATTATTATTTTTTTTTATATTCCTGAAATTGTATCAGTTTGGCCAGGGCAAAGATACTTCTATGTTTGGGGGCTGGTTGGGACCAGAATACTTAAACTAGATTTTATCATCTTGGGAAAGAGTCACAGACTCTGCATTTTTGATTGATCTGCAAAGCAAAAATCATATGGCTGGAAGTTAACATGTATAACCGCTTCCCTGCAATTAGGCAAAATCTCTTTTCAGCAGCAAGAGAGGTTAAAGTCTTGAACTTCCAGTGAAGGCATTGAAAGCACAAGTTTCAGAATATTCTCTTTTGCCTTCAGGAGGAGAAATCCTGTAATTTTTTATCCAAAAAGCCACAGAACGCAATGCACTGCAGTGTGTTCCAGGTTAGAAGCAGCATAAAAAAAAAAAAAAAATGGTAATAATAATATATAATAAATTTGCATGTTAAGTTCTTATTTTCCCTCTGTCTGATGCATGTTCATCTCTTCTGCTCTTGAACTGGGATGCCAAGGTGTGTAATCACGGACTTTAGGGGGATGTAGACTGTAGGCATGCACAAGAACATAACTGCAAGCCAACAAAGTTATTCACATGTGATTTTTGTCTCTGGGACTTGAGAATTTACAAAGTTTATATTTGAAAATAGGGTAAGAAAGTAAATTTCATGTGTTGCAGCTTCCTGCAGCAGCAAACATGGGGACTGGTGGGAGGGATTACCAGCTGTTCACAGAAAAATACATTTACGAGAAGGCAGAGGACCAAAAAAAAAAAAAAAAAAAGGAACCTTGATGGACTTGTGTAAAGGCAAGTCCAACCATAATGTGCCCATCAGCTACTCTATCAGCCAGTGAGGTTACGTTTTCTCATTTATAAAGTTCAGTGAAATTCTCAGTTGCCCAACATCAAATCCGCAGGTTCAGTTTCACATTGTCTAATAAGTGAAAGTGGGCAGTGCTTGTGGTTTACTCCCAGCCATTGTCTTTTATCATATGAGCCAGTTCAATGATAAACTTTCCTTCCTTATACTTCTGACTGCTCTCGAAGGCATGTTCCTAAGAAGAGAAGCAAAACAGAAATAGCACATCACAATAAAGAAATACAACATTACTAGTGCCCTTTTACAAAATTATTTTAAAACACCAAGCCATATACAAATAACTTTTGCATTTCTTTGGATATTGCACATAGCTTTTTTTTATAGCATACACTTAAATAAAAAAAAGCCCTGTATTATACCCTGTAGTATATGCTGGCTCATTATAGTACATAATGGGATAGGAAACCTTCGGCACTCCTGATGTTGTAGACCACGTCTCATAATTATTTCAGAGCTGAAGTATATGTAGTTTAGTTTGAGGGGGGAAATGTTTAAGGTTCTTCTGCTTATTTATGGTTTGCTGGATGCAGACAAGAGTAGTTACAGAGCTTACTTATCCCAGATTATTTAATCAGTGCTCTGTTTCAGAGCATGCAGGAAGCAGTGACGTACATTAAACTATTTTAATAATATACAACTCACATATTTCCAGCCAAGTGTGGTTTTGCAGTTCTCACAGTATATATCAGCCACTGCATGCAACCCAGTAAGAAGGACCCTCTCTTCTGCTGGACCACAGCCAACATTCACCCTGCAAGGTGGAGGCAAACTGTTAAATTCCCTGTATGGTCACAGAGCTCATGAGACTATTGGCTTTTTAAAGCAGATCAAGAACATGTTTCCAGTTCAATAATTTTTAAATAAATGAGCAGACCTCAAATTCCTTTAATTTGCTACTGCAAAGAGCGGGCAACTTGCATGCCTTGGGAGATTGTGATTATATGAGCTTTGAGAATATGACCAGTAAGAGAATGCATTCCAATACCAGCATCCCCAATTCCTATTGGTAGTTTAATCTTTTACTGTTTGCAGGCAAAGTGTTAACAAAAATGAGGGAATATGGGTACAACTAAACCAGAAAATCTTGGCAACCATGTGCAAATGCTATAAGCAGTTTGGATACTTTGTAAATCTCACTGTAGAAGGAATACACAGCAAATGGGTATATGGCACTCTCAAATTTCCTGCTTACAATGTCTAAAAGCATTGTTTGGCAGGCACTCCACCAGATGTGATCAGCACCTGGTGCAGTGGAGTGAAAGCTACTGCCATGTCTCAGCACTTCTCTCCAATCCAATATTTTTATAGCACACAACACTCACTGGATTATTTTAAAAGGACGTAACCTTGTTCAAGCCAAGCTTTACACTCTGCACTAAAATAGCCCAGGTAACCTCAATGGTTATTGCTTATAATTCAATCCCAGATTGTGATTCGACAGAGAGAAGGAAACTGCAATAACTACATGTTACGAAAACTGCTGACAAAAGTAAAAGGTTTTCTATCTCGCCATCAGCAGCACTGAACACTTAAGAATTAGAAAAGTATGTACCCTGAAAAATGAGAGTAAGAATCAAGCAAGCATGCAAATGTGCATAGTGGTCTATATATAAACATATAGCTGTAGCTTGGCATTTCTCTACTACTTTAGTATAGGTTATACATGTTAAAACAAAACAAACTGGAATCCTCAAAAAAAAAAAAAAAAGTTAGTTTTGCGAATATTAAGCCTGACTTATTTACATGTGTATTATAAAAAAAACTAGGTCCGGAGTATTCTTAATATAATGCTCAGCTTTACAGGTTAAAAAGGAATATTTCAATGAATTTTGTATTTGTAACGATTTAGTAGATATACCCCCAATTTTAAGATGCATGCTTTTATTGATGCACATTTTTTTCCATTGGAGATGTATTGAAGATTTATAAAAACAACTTGCAAAAGCTTGGGATCCTTTGTCACAGGCTTTCTCTGTCCAATCACAGACTTCCCTCAGCTCAGTGATAAGTCTTTGCAAGGCAAGTACTCTGGGCAATTGCTGCCTATTGAGTTCAGCTCCACTGAGCTACCAGAAAGTAACAGGACCAATTAAAAAAACTTAAGTTTAATTTATAAACTAAACTAATCTCTATTGAAAACGGCACTTTGTCAAATGAAGAGAAGAAATAAAACTAAAAATAACCTTCACACACAACGCACTTCTGTAAGCTAAAGTGCTTTGTAGTGTTCCTTTAAATAAGTTTTAATGTAAAAAATTTAAAACAAAAAAAGCCCCACTACAATTAATTACCTTTATTAAAGTGCCAGGATAGACACCTCACTGAAGCCCAACTTTCCTCCTGTGAAGTTATCAATCATTACAACTTCTGTCCAGACACTTTTCATAGAGAAGTACTTTAGATATCTGCCAATCAGATTTTTTTTTTTTTGGATGTAAGGAGGATGCGCATTTTCTGGCTGTCTTTTTAAAAGCCACTAAAGGTGTGTTTTCTGCCACATGTAAATGTTGCCTTTTCTCTGAAATAGCAATTTGATATTGCCCAGAAAAGGGACAGCATCTGCGCACCAAAACAACGGCACTAAGGTGTAAACACACTGGTGCTTAGCGAGTTAAGTTATACTGGCTGTGCCTCAACTACCCTGTAATTTTAATGTTTCTATTTTTCAACTGACTTTTCAAGTCCCAATTTATTTAGCTATAAAGTTTTTGGTTTTTTTAATTGTTTGTTATTGTGCAGAAACGTTATTATTTCTAACTTTAGAATGTAGGATTTAATTACTTTGTGCCCCTAGAGTAGTGAAACGTGGCAGTATTATTAGGCTTTGAAAGGACTTTTACCCAACCAACAGCAAAGCAATTTAGAGTTATCTTAAAGGAACACTATAGGCACCCAGGCCACTTCACCTCACTGAAGTAGTCTGGATGCAGTGTCTATTCCCTAAATCCAGTAAGGTAAAACACAGTTTTTGAGGTGTTTTCTACAGTTTCAGGGAGTTTGACTGCATGAAATTATGTTGGACATTCTCACATGGTGCATGAGGACGTCCAGCATCCAGAAACTCCCAATAGGAAAGCATTAAAACAATGCTTTCCTGTGGGATAGGCCTAATGCACACCCGAGATAGGTTCCCCAATCTGCTGTCTTTGTTGGATAAAGTGCGCAACCCAGCGCCAAGCGATATCAGTGCTGTCATTGCACAAGTTAAAAAGTTTGTGTTTGTTTTAAGAATTCTTAAAAAAAAAATTTTTTTTAAAAAATGTAACTATAGTGCCAGGAAAACAAACTCGTTTTCCTGGTATCATAGCTTTCCCCTCCGTCAAAGGCCCCCTATCACATACCTTGGTCCAGCCAGCAGGGGAGACCTAATTCACCTGCGTGGCAATGTCAGTGCTCGCATTAAGATTTCCCCATAGGAAAGCATTATTCAGTGCTTTCCTATGGGATTCCGGGGATGCTGGAAGCATAGTGTGAGGATGTCCAGCATCAATTAGGCGACCAAACATCACCTAACCACCCGGAAGCCCCTGTTTTGGCTGTCAGGTAGACCGCCACTAGAGGAGAAGTTAACACTAGCAGGTAATTATTGCAGTTTATTAAAAACTGCAATAATTACATGCTCAGGGTTAAAGGTGATGAAACACTGCAACCAGATCACTTCAATGAGCTGAAGTGGTCTGGGTGCCTACAGTGTCCCTTTAATATAATAATGACTGAAGCTCTCCACATTCCATAAGAAAGCACTTTCCCCAAAAAAGAAAAGCTGTACATTTTATTCCTTTTTTTTTTTTTATGCTCAATTAATAGTATAACCAGATCTTTAGTTTATAAACATATTTTCTACAATACGTTTCATGCCAAGTTATAAGGCTTTTTCGTATTTACATTAAAGAATCGTAATTCCAATTTAACATATGATCTCCATGAACAGACAACCTCTCTCTTCCATTTAGGGTGGCCAAAATTCCCAATGCTTAAATAGGCAGTCTAACTGCTATAGTGGTTATGATGCCAGGACTGCCTTGGCATCATACCAAGAAAACTTTTTAATCTACCTTAACACTCACATGGATCCATCAGTCTCCTTTGGCCCAGCCTATACTTCTGATATGACTAAAACAGAAGGCACTATTTCCATTGAAACTTACAGTTAACTAATTTCATCAAAATATGAACTAGATTACTAGCTCTAGAGCAGAATGGAAACTTCCATTTTAAGAATATTGGAAATGGAGGCAAGACCAGCTCCACACTTCCCATGTCCAATACGGTATGCATGGGAACTGTGGTAAATTGAATAATGCAAGTCAAAACTAGATAATTATGTATTACATTTATTCTGTGTTGGTTTTCTCTTTAGACTTACAACAGTAATATGTATATATTTACCACCTCTGTCAAGGCCACCAAACATTCAATATACTTCCCAGGTGCCTACCTATAACTTTTTTCCCCAAAATCCTTTTATGTTTATAGTATGAGGTCATATATTGAATAATGTGACTATGCTTTTAATTATGGTAGTTAAATTTAATGGCAAGCTCTTATTTTGAACTACTCCCTCAAATACTAATCTGTTAAGAGACTAAATTTTCAACCAAGCCTTCCAAATTTCCCCATACTCTGGATAAAATATCCTCATTTTGATTGTAAAACATGTAACAGGCTCTTCAATGGCAGTAAAACCTATACTCGCAAAAAAAAAAAAAAAAAGTGACTCCTTTACAGTGTTTCCAATGGATGGGAGAGGCATATTCTATTCATCAATCCAAGGATGTTGCTACAATAAAATTGCACTTTCCCCTACTGCAATAGAGATTTGGTTTTCTTTTTATTTACAGAATGTATCCGGTTATATATGTTATATTACAATTGTAGAGTGGGTCATTAAGCGAACGTTATAATTTAAGTGCTTTCCAATTAGGTCTAATCTGTAAACAAGGTCCAGAGGAATTTGACCAGATAATTTTCTAAAATGAGACGTGTCAGGAATTTAACGTAAATATCAAATTTAAGTCCAAAGTAACAGAACTTAAAATTCTCCAAGCCATGCTCCCAATTCTGTCACTTTGGCTTTAAATTTGAAATTCACTTTTAATTCCTTGGCAATTCTCATTTGAGTGTATACCCTGACTATGGAGACACAGCACCATTTAGATCAGACAACCTTTTTTGAAATGTGGCAGGGCATAGTGCAGAAGGTACGCAGGTCAATGTAAAGGAAAATACTGAGCCCCACAACAACATTTCACTTAATGAAGCAGATTTTTGGTACATATTAAGCCATGCAGTTTCACTGCTCAGTTCTCTGCCATTTTGGAGTTAAATCACGGTTTATGCAGGCTTAGCCACAACTTCCCTGGTGTGGTTTCATCTTTAATCAGCTCTTACAGCAGTGTATATTGAGAAGTTATCAACTGCTCTGTGAAATGATCTCTCCACTGCCCATACTGAAAAAAAAAAGTCACCAACTGGTAGATACACCCCCAATGAATACATGCATGCATTTTCATGCACATATCCATTGGGGGTATATCTGCTCCCCGTTTAACTCCAGAAGAGACTTTCAGTCTCTTCACAGTGAAAGAGCCAATCAGAGGCTTCTCATTGAGTGTCTGAAGGGCTCACTCAGTGAATGAGCTGCATACTGGACGCGGGTCTGACAGGGAGAGGCACATTCAAGGAGATGGGAGCCAACAGGAGCAGGAAGAAATCACCCTGGTTGTTTGCTTATAAAAATGCCATATTTTTATAAATTGTAATGGGATACTCCTAACACCTTATTATGGGTGTGGAATGGTCCTTTAATCACACATGATGCTCCTGCAGGCTCTAGCAGGCTATTAACCGTGCAGGAAATGTGTGGGGAGGACTGTGTAAATAACAGGCAGCGAAGGTGTGACAACGGCTGCATAAACAAAATGAGTTAACTGCTAAATGGAAGAGAATTAAAGAGACATGCATCACTTGACAACTGTCTTTTTAAACCAGCAACCAAACACTTACACAAATATAAAAACCAAAATACAGCATTAAATCCCATGCATTGTATTATTGGGCACAACTTTATTCAGCCTGCCCTCCCTCTTACCCACCCAACTCAGTTTCAGGTCAGTCCACTAAAAATAGAAACAGGGCATCATTGTGCAGCAGGAGACCGAAACCTGAAACAGCAGTCTGCTTTGCATGATTACACTGATCAGATCATGTTGCAGGGGTGAAGAGATCTTCCAACTGCACACTTGTAAAGGTCACGCATGCCCAATGCACTTTTCCAGCATTCCTAGGAATAGGACATGGAATGCTTAGATCAGTGTCCAACCTGGAGTAGGTGTGCAAAGCATAAAAAAGAAAGGTAAATATGGAGAAAAATCATTTGTACCTGTTTTTTCAGCCTGCACAGTGAGCCAACTGCCCCATTCAAAGCCAAATCTTAAATGAGACAGGTGTCACAAAGTGATGTATGTTTCTTTAAGCAGTGAGACTGCAGGGGTATGATCTATACACCAAAATTGCTTTGATAAGCTAAAAATATGTTGTGGTGCTTAGAGCTGTCCTTTAAAATGTAAAACCCATGGAAAACAAAGTTTGAGAAAATATTCATATACACAAAAAAAATACTCACACTGAATTAAAGAGGTAGGCTCTACCTTGACTTCCCTGAAATGACTGTAGATGGGAGAGAAAATAAATATATGGGTAAATGAATACTGCTCATAATAGAAAGTCAACAATAAATCAAGAACTCCACCAATTGCATACATTTCAACTATCCGTGCAAACATTGCTACCAGCAAAAATTTTTAGTTTCTAACAGATCAATTGAGAAAAGACCATGTTAGGACATACTTTATGGAGAGGTTACTCAATGAATTTCAGAAGGATGAGAGAGTTAAACATGTACATTTGCTCAGAAATGGTCACATAAGCAAACAGCTATAAGAGAAAAGTTTGACTTGCGCTATAAGCAACATATATGTTACTGTATTTGGCCCACTTTTAAACAGTGCAAGGAGTAAACAGACTACTTGTACAAAGCACAGATTAGCAACTGAAAATAAATCATGAAGCATTCAACACCAACACCTCTTTACTTTCTAATACGCAATGTTTTACAGCATCTCTAATCAGTATTTGTTGTGTGCAAACTTTTAAAAATAGCCCATTTCAAGGGACAGTAGAGCCACGAAAACAAAAATGAAAATATTGGTGGAGCTCAAGCCCTGCAGTTCAACTGCTCAGTACTCTGCCATTTAGGAGTTAAATCAGGTTGTGTTTGCAGCCCTAGTCAAACCTCCCTGTATATTACTTACGCAACCTTCCTAAACACTTACTGTAAAGAATGTCATCAACTTACCTGCCGCTGGAACCCACGCTGCTTTCTTTGTTGGGCTGTGCAAACCGAATGCTTTTCGACACTTTTCTCCAAAGGCAACTTGTCGACACAACCTGAACAAGTATATATTTTATTCATACCCCTCAGCCAGCAATCCTGCTTTGTCTTTTAGTTCGTGCAGACCGAAATCCAGTCATTTCTTCCCTGTAATATCTTAGACGCTGCCCACTTGAATGGCGATTCTTAAGTATTCAAATGATGCAACGTCACGTCTGCCCTTAAAGTGACCACGTCATCTAGGTCACCTCATATTTAATCAATTTGTAGTCGCAGAGATGACGTGGACCAATCAGAAACTGTGTTAGCCTATATAAAGTAAATTTGGGCCCCTTGTGCATTGACGATTGTGGTTTCTGCCCTGATACAGGTTAGTGCTTATAGCAAGTCTCTCTTGATATATCCTGATATTGAGCTTACTGTAGAGGTTATGAAAAAAGGAGTGCCCTGAAGGAGTAATTTGTCAAACCATTTAAGAACGGTTTGATGGCTTGCATCGTTCTCCAGTGCCGCATCCATCTTTATCCTGCAGAAGAAGTCATATGTCTCCACTGAGATAAGCTTGGTCAATCCAGGACCACTCTCATTGGCTGAGAGCACTCAGCTGACACTAAAACATGAGCATGGCCCTGCTTAGTTTAGTGGAGCTACCTGGAGTCAGTTTTGTAACAACTGGACTTCCTGCCTGGCCATCTCACTGCATCTGGAAGACAGAGCTGGAAGCTATTGTACAGAGCAGGACCACGTGCAGTGCAGTGGCTGCGAGTGTCAGCTGAATGCGCTCAGCCAACAAGCCAGGTCCTGGTACCATACTTAGTACCATAACTACTACAATCCACTTAATTGAAATTGTATTATCAATGGGGAGTGCTAGGACAAGGCCAGATTTATGTGAAGTCATTCCTAAACGGTTTGAAATGAAACCGGGGATGGCTTTAGGACACTCTCAAAGTAACAAATCAATTGGGATACAGTGGTAATGTAGCTTAGAGCTATTGCACAGCACCACCAATTCAATTCTTGTTGGCAATTTCCAACATGCCTTCTTCTGCCCCAAAAATGTGCAGCAATGGTATGGTTGCGTATTAAATTTCTAATCTGTTGAGTGGGTTTCTTTGTTCCCCCATCATACAACAACAACAAGGACTTTTGTGACAAAATATTTATTGAATTTTTTTGTGTGTTTTTTTTTTTTATATAAACAAGAATACAAATACATTGTACATAAAAAAAAAAAAATCTAAAATGAGTACATGAAAAATCTAGGGGTATGACAATGGTTCTTAGATTGAACCAAATATTAGGTATCAACCGATATTGATTGTTTTGTAGAGCCAATACCGATAACCTGTGAACTTTCAGGCCGATAGCTTACCGATATTCTGTACATTTACCATTTTGAGAAAAAAAAAATTAATGCCAGTCAATTTTTTTTTAATATGTTTTCAAGAATATTTGTGTGTGTGTGTGTATGTGTGTGATGGATGCAGTGAGATTATTTGATTAGTAAATGCAGTGTGTGTGGTGGATGCAGTGTGTTTGAGTGCAAATATGTGCTGCCCCCCCTTCATGATGTTCCTCTCCGTTATCTTTTAGTGCCCCCCCCCACCCCAGTGTTCCTTTTCCCTTCCATGTACCTTAGTGCCCTCCCTTAATGTTTCTCTCTCCCCCAAACCATAGTGTTCTTTCCTGCCCCTCACTTCCAGTGTTTTTCCTGCACCTCCCCTCCCATAGCCTTCTTTCCTGCTCTCCCCCGGTGTTTTTTCCTCCCCCTCCCATTTCCCAAAATGTAACTTCCCCCTGTCTTGTCTCCACGGTACAGGCGATTCAGTCTCCTGTACCCAGCTGGACTGAAAGGAAGTGCTCTCTCAGTGAGCACTTCCTTTCAGTCCAGCCGGGTACAGGAAACAAGTTCCTGTACCATTGTGCGCACTGCTCGGCCACGCTACACAGAGTGCCTGTCAGGAGGGAGCACTGTGCGCCTTACGGACACGCCAGCCCACCTCATTATCGGTATTACCGGTGATTATCGGCCAATACACACACACACACCACACACAAACTTTTTTGGAAAACAAATCAAATATCGGCAAACCCGATAATCAGTTGATCCCTACTAAATATAGTATACGTGGTTGGAAAAATAGACCATATCAGGGCACACATGTTTAGGAGTCCCTGATAACTTCAGAGAGTCTGGGCACGAACTAGATCAACACGGTTGTGGACCATTATGTTATACAGACTTGGTTGGATAGCTCACTAATGTGCTAGTATAAGAACGCAGGTCAACTAGACGCCTTTGTGGAGTAATGAGGAATTCTAATATTTGTTACTGAATGGACACCCAATTATTATGTATTTAATATAATGAGCATTAATGAAACAGGCAAAAAGGAGAAACTTGCCTTGGATATCAATTCATCATGGTTAGCTAAGTGTGCTCTACAGTGTATACAGCTGTAAGTTCTGTGACAGTTCGGCAGATAAGCCTGGAAAGTTTTTGATTTGGTCATTTTCACCATGTCTGCCTGTGGTTCCTCACTCAGCTCCGGGCTGGCACTTGAAGAATTACAACTCTGTTGCACTCGCTGACAAAAGAAACACTGGAAAATGCAAGCAAAAGCCGTTGTTGGTTTAGGGAGTGTGTGGCACTTTCCACACAGACACCAGGGGAGAAAGTCAACCTAGGAAAACAAGAGACAAATTGTTACCATCAAATAAAAGAAACTTCATCTATGCACCTATTTAGAACCTGAAATTAACAGTAAGACACTTTAAGTGATGAATTACCAAATTGGATTTTTAACATTATGCATTTCATTTTAGTTACATTAGACTTAACATTCAATACTAACATGGATAGAAATATATTTACAACATAATGAGCCATTAATTAGACAGATCTCCAGAAGTATTAGCCAGTATAAATAGGGCGTTATAAAACCCTAAACGTTCCATTCACTTTATGTAGTTGTGTAAGAAGTGCAATTTAAAATATATTTTTGTGCCTCATCCATAAGTGGATTTCCATGGAGTAGGAACAATTAGTAGACATTAGCAAGAAAATCAATAGATTTTTTTTTTTTTTTTTAACCTGAAACAAAGAGTGAGTCCAGGGAGAACAAAAAAAAAAAAACCCACACACACAACCATTGCTTGTGGCATCAAGCATAACATTCTAATGGCAGCGGTTCAGAGGTTGGCTAAGGATAATCATTCCGTATAGGGAAATATTTAAACATAGGACTTTAGGAAAGTCCAGACCGCTTCCCATTAAATCACCTCCAAAATAACCATCCAACATCCTTAGTGACATTCCATGCACCAACCAGTTATTCCACCAATCTAGTGCCAGAAACAATAGAGAGTCTTTGAAGCCCTTACTTCAACTTCTACACACGGCATTATCAGAGAACCACCAGTCGGGGAAAGAAAAGTTACCAGTCCAGCCAAAGTAAGGCTTTTAAAGTCTAATAAATGTAAAAAGGTTTTCTAAACAAGTAAAGCATAAGTTATGAAAGGTAGCCCAGAGCATTAAATAAAATAAAGAAGAACTCCAAGCACGATAACCACTTAGAGCTTACTGTAGCGGTTATGGTAAGAGGAGTGCCCTGAAGGAGTAATTTGTCAAACCATGTAACAACGGTTTGATGACTTGCATGGTATATATTGATTTTAAAGGTACAAAATAGAATTAAACACACATAAGGGAAGCATTCTCTGTGAATGCTTCCCTTATGTGTGTAATTCTATCCTGTGCCTTTAAAAATCAATCTAATCCCACAAACAGTTGTAATGTTTCCTCCATTAAAAATATGTGAGCCAATAGCTGAAGTGCAAGTTTCCATTCAAGAAAGTAAATTTTTTAGTGAAGCATGCACTTTAGTGTGGCATAGAAATTAGCAACTGCTACAAACGTGTTTCAAGATTGAACATTATTTCAGATATGCAATGTAGAATGTGCAGAAATGTTTGACATGACTGAATATTTACTGTAGCTTCCAATACTTAAGCCATGCATTTTCTGGCTCAAAAAAAATAATGCAAAAATGGATTAGAGAAAAATAAAATAAAAAATAAGAGATTGAATTATTGCAAATTGTTATTGTTCATACCAGTACTGTGTAAAATTCTAAAAAAAAAAAAAAAAAAACAAGAAGAAAATAATGATTTACACTTTAGGACGATGCATGATATACTGAGCACTTGTAAATGTGCAGTGCTGTACATGTCTCTTAAGCCTCTTTATAATCTATAGATAAAAAGCATCTTAAAATATTCTGTGGCTGTCCAATCACAGACTTCACAATGCAGTTGACTGCCTCTTCTGTTCAACTCATCTAAACTAATAATAAAAATCAAAAGGGAAGGACACAAACTCATTACAAATAAAGGACGCCAGCAAGCTGAAGCACTTTAGGGATCTGGAGTATCCCTTTAACTGGATACTGTATTGTTTTAACATGTAATGCAAATTCTGTCACTCTAGGGCTAACAGGGAAACTAGTTTAAAGCAACAATGAATAGTCCGTTCAAAATACGATTCTCATTTGGACCGGTGCAAGACAGTGTAGGTGTGTGTGAGGCTACTTTTTCAAAACCATTGAGTATATTTCATATTTGTATTTAATAGATTACCAAACAATTTTGTTTTTGGGAAGCAATATGTAGTATACAGCACGAGTCTGGTGTTAAAAACCCAAAACACTTCAATATTGAAGAACAAAACTTGTAAGAGGCAAACATGCTATACAAAAGTATTTCACATATAGAAACACTTTCAAACAGAGCCAGACGTTAAAATACTCTGTCTGAGAGTTAACACAGTAAGCATTACACAGGATTCACTTCCTCCTTCATGCGGTTAGCAAGCTGAAAGAAAAAAAAAATTTAAGAGCCAACTCAAGTAAAAATACACTAGTGAGTTATATACAGACATGCTATAACAAACAGCAGTCTTTACATTACTGTACAGCTAAACCCAAAATAAACAAATAGTATCCTTGGATAGAGTGGTAAGAAAGTAAAACCAGCTTCACAGAAATAACAGACAGCAACCAAAATAACCTCCCTTGTTTGCACAAGCTACATGCAGAGTGGTAAAAACATTTATAGCTTCTAGAGTTGAGCAGGAAGGAGAAGGGGGAAGAAACAAAAGGAAGGGGTTCATTCTAGATCAATTTTACAAATATTTAAAGGGTTAGATGGATGCAGTGCATGCATGTCAAGTTGGCCACCTTGCATGTTGGGATTATGTGAATCTGATGGAATCCTTGTCGCTACAGATATCAGCACATTGGTAAACAGGGACACAAATAATTTTGGACAGAACAATCATATGGCGGCATCAGGAGAAAATATCCCTTTCAAATGACTTCTGTATTTCATTCTACTTTTTATGTAAATTAAATTGTCAGAATTTACATTGAACAGCTGAAATGCAGTCTCAAACATCAAATGGTTATTTAAATTTTCTCAGTTCTTATTAATGAACCTGTCACAATATTATTACACTTTGCATAAGAAGTCCCCAAACAAATCTGCTTAATCTGGAAAAGTCACACAATTTTAACATATCCTCTTAAATTGATAGCGTGCAAAATGACAACATGCTTTAGCAAGCTTTGGGAAAAATGACAAACATACAAGAAACCAAGACTACCGTATGTACAAAGAAAGGCATAACACATAAATGAGGAGGTAGAGGAGACTGTGTCAGTAACAAAGTTGCCACCCACTTGTGAAAAAGCTCCTTCTAACCAGAACTGTGTGGGCAGATAGATACACTCAAGAGAAAGATCATTGTGTAGTATACCATAACAAGCAGTCACTACATGTATCCGCACTAGTGCAAGAGCAGTAAAACACAAGCCCTAAAACGTCTAGACAGAAATGTAGCTGGCAGCTAACGGTTTTAAATGGATCTTGATGGGTTTATCTTACCCATTACAAATAAAACATGCTGGACTCACATTGCTATTCACTAAGCTGAGTAAGCTATGCTATCTCCCCATGTCTGCAGGGAAATAGTTTCAATAAACCGAGAAAACCCTTACTTTGGTAAGAATATCCAGCAGCATGTGTCCAGTCCCATCTCCACCACCATTCTATCCTAATTAACTTCACAGAAGGCTATAGGCCTACAACAACAACAACATTTGCAAACTGTTTAACCTGATTGTATATGTAAATACAGTGGAGACTGTGTCCAAATTTACCTAACCATGTGTAGAGTAAATGTGACTTGTCAACACAATACTGGCCTATTTCTTCACTAAAGAAATAAATGTGATATACAGGAAAACATTTTTTAAATGAACAGAAGCCTTTCAAGGTTTAGCGGTTTGCTCTTAAAAATGGATGTACATTATACTAGATAGAGCAATGACGCTCCAGACACAGTGATTAAGATAGTTTAATCATACATACTAAGTCCCTGCAGATTTTCTCTATTAGACAGTCTGTTTGGAGAAGTGTTACATTGTGTGCAGATGTTGTAAACTGAGATTGGCTAGACCATCTTCAAACAAAGGAGAAAAGCACATGGCTGTTCTGCATTATCCTTTGTCTTGGATATTAGTATGAACATCAAACCTCTGGAAAAAGTATGTGTGCAGTTTAAAATTATTAGTATACAAGGGTAAAAGCTAGAGAAGAGACACATGCTCACTGATCAGGATTAAAATATATATATATATATATATATATATATATATATATATATATATATATATATATATATATATATATATATATATATATATATATATATTATTTTTTTTTTTAATGCACGCGCTACCCACAACAACAGAAGTTATGTGCAGTCCAGATATGTTCGCATTACATTAATAACAGCAACCAAATGAACAAGTTTCTATTAAGTGCTAAAGCTTACAGCACAATGGATTATGTTAGCATTACACAAAAATCACATTGAGAGAAAAATGGGTTAACAGAGTAGCCAAAGTACAAAAAGGGCCAAGTTGGAAAACTAAAATAGCTTAGATGGAACAACATTTTCTAAACCTGGTAATCTGAAATTCTGTTTACATTTTACCACTTTTCACTGTAAATAAACTGCAATGACATAACTCCTACTTCCAGTATACACAGAAAAAAAATGTGTTAAATCCTCCATGTACCTTACTTAGAAGGACAAAACAAGTCATTCATAAATCGAAAATTTTCTGTAAAGTAATGAAGGAATATAATCCCATATGTCGCTGATCACAATTTTTTTTTTTCTTTAAACAACCACACAAGTAAAATGTGTGAGACTTTCATAAAACGTCAGAGATACTAGTTTTCCTTCAATGGCAAAAGGAATACAATTGAGGCACATCTACAGAAGCTGCTGTTTTCAGAAATACTCTGCTGGCTTCAATCTATAAATAGAAAACGTTCAGCCAGTGAGGCAAGTCTCATTGACAGCTTGGGGTAATCACCCAGTGACACATGGACAGCCTCCTTCATGGACAGACAAAGCAAGTGCATGCAAACACTCAGGTAAAGATATTGTAAA